ACAAGAAGAAGGCTAAGGGCCTATAATGTCGCCTAGGAACAATACTACCCTCGGAGTGCTATTAGCTAACTAATTAGAGGCAAGCAATTGTTAGTAATAAGGGACAATAAGACTATACTACCGGGGAATCTACCTCTTTACTAGCGTACCCTATAAGACCCTTCTCTTAACGCCCCCTTTTATTCCTTTACTCTATCGAGGCCCTAAGGCCTAGGCGGTCGGCGGAGATAGCGCGTACGCGTAAATAGTAATAATAATAATAATAACGACGTCGCGATTATACTAAAGGACGGCGCGGCCGGCGCGGCTATATTAGTAACGGTATTACGGAGTATATTACTACTTAAAGAAGGAAAGATACGGCTATATTAGTAACGGTATTGCCGAGTTGTTTTTAGTTAAAGAAGGAAATTAGAGGCAAGGTAAAGTCGGCGCTAAGACGGCTAGCGCCGCTATTATTAACATTACCTGCTATTATCGCTATACCTGCGAAGACAACCTTACCTATACTACGGCCTAAGGCCGGAGTATACTATACTAATTAAGTTAAAAGAATAGCTATATTAAAGGTTTAATTAAAACTTTAAGGCTAAGTTAAAACACTAAGAGCCGCTTAAAAGATTAGACTAATAGACTAACTAAAGGCAAAAACTATAGAGCTAAGCTAGCTAGGGTCGATCTTGCGGATAATAGGTTACTCCTCGATCTTTCCGACCCTTTAAGTAAGGCGAAACTTAACTATTACACTTATAATAGCCTTTACTTATAGAAACTAGACGAACTATGTTTTTAAAAAAATAAGATTAATTAACAATTAAAGGCTGCTAAACCTAACTAATTAGAGCTAGCGAAACTACGATAGTAAATAAATAGCCCTCGTAATAATAAGAACAATCCCTCGGAGCGGATATTTCTAGGTCTTTTAGAGTAGACGTAAAGAACTCGAAACGATATTACTTAGAACAGGGGCAGTGCTATAATACCCCGTATATCTACCTATTATAGTAGGGAAGGTACGCTCGTATTATAATTAGTCGATAGTCTTTAATTCTATTAGTTATATATTACTTTATTATATATAAGGATAGCGTAGTCGGAGTTAGATATTATGTTAGAAGGTAAGGTTTAATATAGTTATATAATTAGGTAGTTAAGCGTTTAATTTAGCGCGGCTAAGTAGCTTATTAGATTTGCTAATTTACTAGCAATAAAGGTTAAGATTAGAATATAGACAGGCTACGAGGGCGCGGCCTTTAGAAGGGAAGCGTATATTAGGGCTAAAGAGGCTATACGTAGACCCCGTAGTAGTTCGGTTTCCGAACCACTAAACGTATATAGTTTGGTTTCTTAGCGGCGAACTAGCTCCCTAGTTCCGGTTTAGTTTTTTCGAACTATATAGATTCCTAGTTTGAACTAGAGACTGTATTAGTTTTACTATAAGGACACTCTTATTCGACTGCCGGCTACGATTACCGGCTATAATAGTAACTCTGTTACATTTACTACGCTCTTTTGCCGTTGCTAGGGCGTAGTTGTCGTTGCTAGGGCGTAGTTGCCGTTACTAGGGCGTAGTTTTGCTATAAGGACACTCTTATTCGACTGCCGGCTACGATTGCCGGCTATAATAGTTACTAGGTTATATTTACTACGCTCTATTACCGTTGCTAGGGCGTAGTTGCCGTTGCTAGGGCGTAGTTGCCGTTACTAGGGCGTAGTTGCTATTACTGGGGCGTAGTTGCCGTAGTTGCGAAAGCTTACCTATATAACGTTACGTAGGCGGCAACAATTAGGGCTTCGCGATATTCTTATACTTTTAACTTCTTCCTCTATACCTATACCGATAATAACTACTATACGCTACGCCCCCGCCCCTTTCCCTTCTAATAGTAAGAGAGAAGCGCGCCGCGCGCTAAACAGAAGATAGAACTAAAGACCGCGAGTTTGTTTTGCCTAAGTATCTAACTAAAAAGCGTAAGACTAAAGAGGAGTACTCTACGAAGAAGAATTCCGTACGAGACTACGAGAGAAAGGAGAAGATAGATAAGGATAAAAGAGCTAAGGATAAGAGAAGAAAGGCGCGGAATAAGGCATTCTATCGATAGCTAGCGCCTATAGAAAAAAGTAAAGGTTAGAATAAGAAGACAACCTAAGAGAAGGCTAAGAGGAGGAAAGAATTACGGCTAGTTTTCGAGCGTAAAGTTCTAGTAGCGTAAGTTAATCTAGCTAGCGGCCGTAGCTAGTAGCTATAGCCGGCAGCCGTAGCCGGCAGCTATAGCCGGTATATTTTTCTTTAATACGTTAACTAATAGTATTTAGACCTATAGCCGCTACCTCTATCGATACGACCGATAGTAACGGAGATGTTTAGATAGCCGAGAATAATAATACTAGAGTTTAGGATGCCGCGATAGAGCTTAATACTGCGAATAAAGGAACTAAAAAAAGCGAGGAGATACTATACGTCGATCTAGTAACAGGTACAGTCTTAGGGCCTAACGCTATAGACGATAAGCGCTAGGAGTAGATCGAGTATAGTTAAAGAGACGAGATACTAGTAAAGGGCTAAGGCATAAGTCCTATTAATCTAGAAAATCATAGTTAAAGCTACTACAAAAAGCTAGTAAGGATTAGAATCGAGACTAGTCGTCTTTATATCCTCGATATAGAGTAGAAGTTTCTTTATTAGTATTAGAGCGAAGCCTTTACGTCTATAAAGGCAAAGTAGCTTGCGATTAATGCGATCGGGACTAGGTATCTAGGGACGGCAGAAGTGTTACTATAGGAGGAAGGGGTATAGGTAATTATTCTATAGTCGGTATATATAGCCGGCGTTCGTAGCCGGCAGATACTAATAGTTAAATAGAAAGCGTTTCTCGAAGGCAGAGTACTACTACTATATAAAATCTTTACTAAGGCAGAGAGGGCTTATATCCGGAATCTAAGCTACTAGTAGGATAGGTTAGCGTTAGAATTCTCTGAATCTCTATATAAGCCTCCGAAGGATTACCTATTTTAGCGATACGGCTTTATCTCGACTACTCCGTAGGTACCCGAAGAAGCTCGAGCGCTCTTTAAGGTCTTTACTAAGAAGCGGAAGGAGTTCGAGGATTAGGATTAGTTAATAGAGCTATTAGTTAGTCTTAGGTTTCGTAGTTAGACTCGGCCTAAGTATTTGCTTATCGAGTATCTTATACCGAAAGAGGATAGATTAAGACTGAAAACGAGCTTAGATTCGTTAGGTATAGTAGCTCGGTTCCGTTAGTAGGAGAGAGCCGCCGTATAGAAGGCAAAATTCAGGTAGTTAGGGTAGCTAGGAAAGAAATTCTAGTAGTTAGGCTAGCTAGGGTAGCTAGGAAAAAAAATCTAGTAGTTAGGTAGCTAGGAAACAAAAAAAAAGGTAGCTAGCTATTTACTGCCTAGCTATTCCTAACGATACGATGCTATAAAAGAAAGGGTGTTTCCCTATAGCTACTAGTATATATCTACTACTCCTAAGTCTTTACCTTACTATACGAAACCTTAAAACATACCGACCGATATTGTATATATACTAGGCGCTATACTAGGAAGGGTAATAACGAGACGATAGTCGAAACAGTCTAGTATACGAGCGAGATTGCGACAACGTCGAGAGGAGGTCGTATACTTACCTTCGAGCCTATCGAGTCCTAGACGACGATTAGGGCTAGATTTATCCTCTCCGAATCCTAGTAGTAGGAATTTATTATAGGATACTACTACCTAGTCCTTACCTTTATAGAGTCTAAGTAGAAGGTTGTTCGGAGATATAAGAACATCGAGTATTAACCCGGAAATCTTCGAAAAGGCTAGCTAGGCGTATCTTTAGAAACCCGAGTATATAGAGCAGTTCAATTAATAGGTCTATAAGATATAGTTCCCTTTATACTTACGTTTAAAGGAGTATAAACTCCGGAAGTACTCGATACGATAGGGGAGTAAGGAGCGAACGGACATATTCTAGAAGTTTTTTATAGAGGGGGCATTATACCGTTATACGACTTCTCGACTTAAAGGTTAACTAGTAATTGTCTATAACTTCTACGGTTTAATCTTAAAATACCCGAAACTAGGGGATAGGAACTTATCGCCTACGAACTATCTCTATTCTAAACAGTATCGGGAATCTTAAGGAGAGAGGAGAGTTAATATAGATATAGCGTTCTAGAAAGAGGTACGTCTTCTAAAATGCCGGCTATAGCTACCGGCTATAGCTACCGGCTATAGCTACCGGCTATAGCTACCGGCTATAGCTGCCGGCTACAGCTACCGGCTACAGATTCCGGCTACAGATTCCGGCTACAGATTCCGGCTATAGATTCCGGCTACTTAAATCAACCGTAGAGGTCTAGCTAATTATTATAGGCTACGCTTAAGGAAGCTCTAGGATTAAAGGCTACCGATTTCTCCCCCGAAGACTTTAAGCAACTAGCAAACGAAATACTAGCTATAAACGGTCTTCCGGAAGACTTCTACGAAAGGGAGTCTATATAGAAGATATACCTATATCTTATAAACTACCCTCCCCTATTTCTCGGCGCGACAACCTAGCGTATTATATTCGAAAAGAATAAAGAGGCTACGTTAGACGATATTCGGGAGATCCTCCGTAATACTCGCCGAGTAGCTATTACTATCGATAGCTAGTTAAGCCGGACTATAAGAGCCTCCTTCCTCTCGATTATACTATACTTTATTAATTCGGATTAGAAACTCTAGGAACTTATAATCGGATTCCCTAAAATTCTAGGTTCCTATACTAGTAAGGATATAGCGAAGCTTGTCTATACGGCAATAGATAGGGTTAGCGTAACAACGAAACTAATCTCGATTACTACGGACAACGCTAGTAATAATCGAACATTATATAAGGCGTTGTATATACAATTTACTCGTATATATCTTTAAAATTACTAATTATATCGATAGGGTCGAGTGCGTAGAGGAGATTATAAGGTCTACAATCTAGCTTAATCTTCCGAATGTTAAGCTCGCTACGATTCCGGATACGTACGATAATACGTACGACGATAACGATAAAGAGGAGCCTAGTAATAGCCCTAGCCCTATTAAATCGGAGCCGACGTCGTTGCTAGTCATATCCCTATAGAAGTTTCCCTACCTCGCTTATATAGTTTAAATCGCGATCCGAGCCTTCTTTAAGACGCTTAAAATTGTACTATTAAACGACGACTAATAGAAGATCTTAGATAAGGATAAGGCAAAGTCGAAAGTCGAGAAACTCGTTATAGTAATAAGATAGGATAAGGTAGAGAGCCTCGCTCTCGTTTTATATAAGGTATAACTTTTATCTATAGCCGGTACCTATAGCCGGCAACCTAGTATAGTTCTAACTCTTTTTCTCTAGCTTCGTCGTCTAGCAATATATACGAACTCGAGCTTATAGAGATATAACCGATTCGAGGCTATTTAAAAGAACCTAATCGAGCGCCCTAAAACCGATGCCTAGAATATCGTATAGAATAAGCGATAGCAAAAGCGGCCTCCTTAGCGCCTACTCCGTTTTATCTAAGACGTTAAGACCCGGTTCGATTCGACTTTCTATATAGTTACGAGGGGATATACTTTATATACCGCTCTCGAGATCTATTAGAGTTCCGAGGGTATTAAGTAGCTCGGCCTTACCGCCGCCGAATAGCGCTAAGCAGAGTATCTCGTCGATATTAGTAAGCATTACGCGAAGGTTACTACTACGATTAGAAGAACCCGAGGACCGACGATCTGCCTTGTCTTTACGTACTATAACTAGCTCTTTAACGAGCTCGAGGAAACCGTAGCTAGGCTAGCTAAGAAGAGCGTTCCCTAGAAAGTAGCTATAACGAAAGCTATAGACAGCTCCTATACTAAGTTATATAAATATTATAGTACTGCCTTTAAGTCGTTCGGGGATATCTGTAGCGTTACGTACTTGCTTAACCCGGTAGAAAAGGATATGTACTAGTAGAGGCCGGAATAGAAGGCGGACGAGGTATAGCCGAAGCATTACTAGACTATTCTAGAAAAGATATTCTGCGAGCGTCGGAAAGAAACTGGTCTAAATACAGCTCCTATAAAGAAAAAGAAGGTTTAGAGGGCTCCGATATTATACCTATTTCGTAGGTAGGAAGTAGAGGTAGAAGAGGAAGCAACTACTAAAGGGAATAAGGAAGAGTTCGATCTCTATCGGCGCGCGAGTAAGTGTAAACCCGTAGGCTCGGAAAGAGGGCTAATAATCTCTAGATCTTACCGGTCTTCTAGATAAATTCGGAGACGATATTCTCGCTATATAGTAGCGGTTAGAGCCTAAGTTTCTAACGATAGCGTCGGTCGCTCGGGACGTCCTCGCTATCCTAAGCATAGGTATAGGCTATAAGAGGTCTTTTAGTATCGCTCGTTACTAGGGCCGCTTTAATCGAATATACTCGCCTACTACCTTCGAATCTATTATAGTATTCCGATACTATCTCCTCTACTAGAATCGCTAAGGTAGGTTACTAAAGATTATACTAAAGGAGTTAATCGAGGAATTAGAAAACCTTAAGATCGAAGAAACCTAGGAGCGCGAAGAGAATGCGAAATTTAGTCTAAGCGAAACCCTAATTAGCGATAACGAAGAGGAGGAGGGCGGAGGTAGAAGGCGATACTAGGTCGAGAAGCGGAAACGTATATAGGCTTAGAGCAGCTTTAAGGAGACGAAGCGTTTACGTATAAGGTAATATAGCCGGCGTATATAGCCGGTATATATCCGAAATATATTTCGAATTCCTAGGACCTAAACAGACCAGTTGCTACAGCAACCGACCCCGCTTACCTATAGACTATTTCTAATTCTCTATTCGCTTTTCCTCTCCTTCTTCCCTTTCCCTATATTCTTAAAAACAAACATACCTTAAGGATTCGGCTCTTCGGGCCTTCCTAAGCCGGCTACCTCCCCTTCCTTAAGCTACTATCCTTTATTCGAATCTAACGATAACCTACTAAGGCGGTTTAACAGAAGACTATTTGTTCTAGAAGGCAAGAAGCATTAATGTCTCCTTACGATTATATGCTTATTAATTTTCTAGGTCCTACCGATATACCCTCGTCGCCTAAACGCGTAGATAAATATCTTTAGAGGCTAAAGGGTAAGGGTAAAGTAAGCTAAGTATAGGGAGACCGTAGCGAGAACGAGATATCGGAAGAGTAAGGCTCTCTATAGTATATACGAAGGAAGGGGGTTCCTCTAAAAACAGTACCGAAAAACAAGAAGGCTTTAGATAGATAGGAGAAGGCTAAAAAGAGTAAGCGGACGAAGACTATCGCAAAGAAAAGTTATCTTTCTATTAAAAAAAAGGGAACAAGGTAGGACTCGACGACAAAGAAGCGGCGCTTTAAACTAGGTACTATTGCCCTTCGCTAGATCCGGCTTTTCTAAAATAAAAGAGGGACCGAGCTTTTAATCCCTAAGACTCCCTTCTAGCGACTCGTCCGAGAAATTACATTAGATTTTCGGTCTAGTATACGATTTACGGCTAAGGCGATTAGTGCTCTTTAGGAAGCTACGGAGGCATTTCTCGTAACCGAGCTTAAGCTTTTAAACCTCCTTACTATCTATACGAAGCGGGTTACTCTTTAAAATAAAGATATATAGCTTCTAGCTAAAATTCGGCGTCGGTTTATAGCGGATTAGTTAGAAATTGTATTTAGTCGTTAGATTAACCTAGAAGGAGGCCTATTTTCGCATCCTTTTGCCGGCTATAGGTGCCGGCTATATTTCTAATTTTATCTCCGCGCCGTCCCTAAATCTAAGGTACGAAGTAGAAACCTAGCGCTCTATATTTACCCGGCTATTATAGAGACGAGCTACATTTAGATTAGTTTCTTCGTATATCGCGACCTAGCGGATAGTAAGCGAAAGGGCGATAGAACGTTTATAATACGTCTCTATTTAGACCTAAAATATAAAGGTCCTAAGGAGCCCTAGCATCCTAACTATAAGGAGATTCTTTAGTATTAGCACTTTAATCCTCTATACTACGAGGCAGATAGCAAGCCTACGAGAGAGAAACTTTAACGAGAAATTCTCTATAATACGTAGCGCTATTATATAGCTATAAATGCGCACTAAGTCCGGCAACTCGAAGAAGATTTAAGATAGCGACCGAGTAGGAGAATAATAGTATATTAGTAGAGTCGAGGTCTTATAAGCGAAGCATAAGATAATATAGGCTCTTAGTCGTATAGAGTAACGTACTATATAAATAACTAGGCGTGATACTCTTATTCACTTACGACCTATATCCTAGGATGCTCTACTCGTACTTTTTATACTCTTTTCTAATACCTTACCTATAATCGCTCCGCGATAACCGAGTAAATATAAGCTATAGGATTTCCGCTCGGTACCTTAGCCTTCGAGATACGGCGGAGTTAATTCTCTATAATACGTAGCGCTATTATATAGCTATAGATACGCACTAAGTCCGGCAACTCGAAGAAGTTTTAAGACAGCGACCGAGTAGGAGAATAACAGTATATTAGTAGAGTCGAGGTCTTATAAGTAAAGTACGAGATAATATAGGCTCTTAGTCGTATAGAGTAACGTACTATATAAATAACTAGGCGTGCTACTCTTATTTACTTACGACCTATATCCTAGGATACTATTCTCGTACTTTTTATACTCTTTTCTAATACCTTACCTATAAGCGCTCCGCGACAACCGAGTAAATATAAGCTATAGGGTTTCCGCTCGGTACCTTAGCCTCCGAGATAGGGCGGAGTTGAATTTAGAGCGATAGCCGGCACTCGTAGCCGGCATATAGAGACGGTAGTAGGCCTTTTCCTACTAAATAACTAGCTTGTTTAGTATAGCCTACCTAATATTTCTTATATTTACTAGTAATAGGCCTAGGTTACTTATAAGATTACTATAGCTAGTAAAGGCATTACTAAAGAATATCTATACTATAGTAGGATACTATTATTACGCCGGCTATTTATTAAAAGGAGGCTTTCGCCTATTACTATACTAGCTATATATACCGGCTATATTTTAAAGTCTGCCGTACCTACCTTTTTTAGCCGTACCTGCCTTTTTTAGCCGTGCCTACCTTCTTTCCTTGCTCTAACGTTACTATAATATAGGCTTGCGCGAAGCTTACTCTATTGCCTAGCGATACCGCGACACTACCTCTCTCGCTATATTCAACCTTCGCATCGATACCTATACCTCTACGCTCTATATCTACTACCTCCGTAATACCCTCGCTCCGCGCGCGCCTTCGTATACCTTCGTAACGCACTTTTTTTCCTTAATTCGACGACTTTTATAATACCGAGTCTACTTAACTAAGTTACGACGCCTCGTAAGAAGGGACCTACTACTTCTACGGGTCGTAACAAGACCGGAAATAATAGAACGAGTATAGTATATTAACGTAAGAGGGCTGCTACTACTACCGCTAGCTCCGGTACTAGAAAGGGCGTCGCGAGTAAGGCTCCGCGTAAGACAACGGTAGGCAAGGCTCTACGCAAGACGATAACTAGCGCTTCTACTACTAGTAGCAATCGTACGAAGCGTCGATAGCGCCTAGAAAGTAAGTCCTATTTATAGCCGGCAGCGTAGCCGGTAGCGTAGCCGGTAGCGTAGCCGGCATTCTTACTATCTTTTTACTAATCCTTCTTTAGCCGTAGCCCTCCGTTAGATTCGGTAGTATTAGAAAAGTTCTAAGCTCCTAATCCGTAAAGCTCCTTTCCGACGACTTATTCGCGAAATTGCCTAGGTTTATAGAACGGACCTTCGCTTCTAAGCCTCCGCGATAGACGCCCTTTAAGAGGCTATAGAAGCCTACCTAGTTCGTATCTTCGAATATATATTTCTCTCCTACCTCTTTTCGGACTATACTAATACTATTTTAGCGGTTAACCTTATAGCTATCTACGCGAAGCGTATAACGATTATAGACAAGGATTTCAAAGTACTCGATTAGATTCTAAAAGGCTAGAATATCTATATTCGAGATAGTGCTAGGTAGGATAGATATTCTAGTAGGAAGGATGTTCGTAGTATCGTCTATAAGCTTTTCTATATACGAAATAAGCCGCGGTTATACGGCGCTATATACCGCGCTCTAAATACTCTCTAAGTATATATATATAGTATAGTATACTTTATTAGCCGTACGGAATAGAAGTCTTCGAAAATCCCGTTAGTACTAAGGAGTCAAAAGGCCGGCTACGCTGCCGGCTACGCTACCGGCTACGCTGCTAGGTCTTATAAAGAACTAAAAGAAGATAGACATTCTAGTTAATTTGTATTAGTTTAGATTTTTAGAAAAAGAAAACAAAGAAAAAAGGAAGAAGATTAAAGAACCTAATACTTATAGTTATAGGCATTATTCCTGTTCTCTAGACTATATTATATACCTGCTTTCGCAACTCTACCTAATACTCCTACTAAATATCCTTATACTCTACCTACTAGAAATTCAACTAGGTACCTAGACCTATAGCTGCCTCTATATCTTTTACTATCTTCTATAGGTTAAAGGACTCCTCTATAGCAGCCTCTACTTCCTTATATAATACGAAGTCACTGCCTACCCTATCCTTAATATCTACTAAATAACCTAGAGTTCTAAGGAACGAACTAGCATTCGGCCGTAGTATAGCGAGTAACTAATAGAACGCCCTATAGAGCTGCCTTATAGCTGTTTCGTATATAGTGCCGATATCGAGGGAGGAGCTATCCTAGTACTTAATATTAGAGTATAGTTTAGTAGGAAAGTGTATAAACTTCTTATAGAGAGCTTCGACGGAAATCGATAAGTTCTACCTAGATCTAGATAAAGATATTCTACTAAGCAGTTAGGGAATTAAACCGTAAACGAAAGGATGAAATTTATACCTAAGGAGTACAGTTTCCGAACTAAACTATAATGCCTTATATATGTATATATGCTTTTAATTAGTTAGTGCCCTTAGCTAATTGTCTATAGATTTAAGGTTATATAAGTACCTTTATATAACTACGTAGCCTAAGTAGGATTCGAAAATTCTATAAGTACTAAGGACTAAAAATGCCGGCTACGCTGCCGGCTATACTGCTAAGTCTTATAAAGGGCTTGCTTGAAGCTACGTATACATTCGTACACTTCTTAAAAACCGATAAATTATATAGTTGGAACTAGCTACTTATATAGTTGCTTAGCAAACCAACCTAAACTAAACTAGAGTTTCGGCTTAGCAAACTAAACTAAACCAACCCGAACCACTACGGGGTCTAGCTATACGTAATTAGTATATAACTAGACCGAGTAAAGCTAGGGTCTTAGTACCTTAGGTAGGGCTTAGCGCTTAGCAATAGGCTAACTCTCCTACCTTCCTCCCTCTCCTCCTAGAGCCTTATCGAATACTACCTATACCTACTACTACCCTATCTACCTACTAATATAACCCTTCTTATAGCGTAGAAATAGAACTTATAGCCTATCTTCTTCGTCTTCTTCTTCGCTTTATTAGTCGTTATCTAGGTACGTTTATTAGGCTTACTAAAGCAGCCGCAAACGTAGAGATAGCGGTATTTAATACTATCCTTATTCTTTCTTAGTTTCTACTCTTTAAACTCGAATCTAGTATCTAGACTAAACGACTAAATATAGCGCGCGAGCGCGTTCTTTAAAGGAAACGACGACTAGCGAGGCAATAGTCTATAAGGGCGCTTAATCGTTATAAACTCGTACTTTTAAGATTGCGGTAATACTAACCGATAATCTAGTAGATTAATACGCTCGCGCGGTAGCGATAGTAAGCGCGAGCGGCCTCGAATACGTGTCTTCGAAACAAATTAAACCTCTTCCTACGATAGCGCGTCTTTAATACCTTCTTTAGCGCCTTTAGTGCCTTTAGCGCCTTAGCCTTTTAGTATCTTTAGCGCCTTTAGTATCTTTAGTACCTTTAGTACCTTTAGCGCCTTTAGTACCTTTAGTACCTTTAGCACCTTTAGTAGCACCTTTAGCACCTTTAGCGCCTTTAGTACCTTTAGTACTTTTAGTACCTTTAGCGCCTTTAGTATCTTCTACCGCTACTACTATTTCGCTACTACTAGCGATAAGATTACCGAGAAACTCGCTAATATATACTTCGTATAATAGAGATTTAGCTATTTTCGGTAGTTACTAGGGATTCTACTATAAAAGAGGGAAGAAATACGAATATTAGGTTAGTAGACTTTAAGGCGCAACTTCGAGGTACGACTTCCTAGGTAACGCGCTCTACGCTACTAACTAAGAATAGATATGATATATAATAGGTAGAAACAGCACGTAATCTTATTCAGGCCGATTTTATATTGGTATATCTACTGGTATCTACTGGGGCTCGGGCGGGTAGCTGGGGCTCGGGGAAGTGGCGAGGGAGAGGAGGTGGTGAATGAGGCTGTTGGATCTTTGGTACCCATGACGACACTTGGACCTCGCGGTCCACGGGTCAGGGGCCGAAAAGCATGGTGGGATCATGGGCTGGATAGAAGTGTTTCGAAAGGCAAGACGGGGTGTAGAAGAAGGCGTGGTGATGGCCGTCGTCGGTCTCCGTCGCCTTTGTGATGTGTGTTGCTTTGCGCCAACGACAGAAAGCTGGGATTGAATCGCGCGCGAAAGGAGCAGAGAGACTGCAATGCCGAGGCCATTGCGAATGAACGACCCATATCAGATTCCGCAGAGTGGTGACGCGCACAGGAAGCGTCGCAGCGCTCACTACGGCGGGCAGAGAGTGGAATTTCGGCCTGCAGCATCGGTGGCAGCGCTGCCGCTGCGCGAGGTGGACTTGAACTCGCTGATTGCACCGACGGAACAGACATCGAGTGCACGCAGCGAGAATTCCCCCGCACCCAGCACCATCAAGCGACGCTTGGCGAGGTTCACACAGCGGGTCGGATCTCTATGGGGCCATCGATAATTAAGCACGAGGCTTTGATATACGGAGTACATACACCGACGAGGATACCAGCGGAAGGAAAGGACGGGGAGGACGGGAAGCTTGGCGTCGGCGTCGGCATCGGGGCGTCGCGAAAGAAACGCGGGATGGTCAGGGGCGTCGGCGTCGGGGGGTCTGCAGGGTTCTGGTTGGTGCGCACGGCATCGCTCGCTGCATCAACAAATCAACAAATCAACAAGCATTCACGACACACACACCGACGCCGACACCGACACCTGCTGCGGTGTGGCCTGGTGATCAGGCTGCTGCCATCATCCACCCCATCCGCCGTACTGTCGCAGCCATGTACGCACCCGCCGTCCACGACACAGGCCAACACGAGACCCCCACCCGAAACAATATTTCAGCCAACACCAGCGATGCGGCGCAGGCTGCGCGACATCTGTCTATAGGCATTGCCACGACGACCGATGCGCAGAGCCCGATATCTTCTGCACCAAACACTCCAGGCCTGAAGACCCCCATATCGCGCCGCGCCTCGAATTCCCTCAACGCGCCCACCAACTCTCCCAAGCAACCTGTACGACGTCCCTCGAGCTCAGCCAGCCTGAACAGACCTCCCTCCTCGCCGAGACTCATGCGCAAATCGTCCAGGAGCTCCATAGGCATCGCTGGCGGAGGCACGCCCGACGAGAATGACTACCGGCCCAGCCCGAAGCGATCCATTTCGAACTTGATATCAGGTTTGAGGGAGGCGCAATCCACCATGGAGGCCATCGAGGAGCCCATCCCTCTGACAGCTGCGCAAATAGCAACTGCGCACTTCACGAAAGAGTTGTTGGGCCATGCAGAGCCTGGAACCGACGCAGAGACCATAGTCATGTTGCACGATGCCTGCTATGGCCACCGTTGGTCCCGACTGAAGACCGCTAAGTCGCAGCTGTCTTTGATCGTCGAGAGGCCAGAGCGCATACATGCGAGCATCTTGGGTGCTTCGACCGCTTATGTGAGGCTTGGAGGACATCATGCCAGAGGGAAACATGCACCCCATCCAGACCTCATGGGACCTACGAAGCCACCCTTCAAAATACTGCGCTCAGCACGATCTATGGATATCACGTCCTCTTTTGTGACAAACGTTCATGGCACAGCGTGGATGACAGAGTTGCAAAAAATGTGTCATTCTGCTTCCGAAAAACTTGCCGCCGGAACGAAGGAGATTAGCAGAGATCCAACACCCGGAGCGCCCCCAAAGCAAGAACTTCACGCTGGTGATTTGTACCTAGCACCGGGTTCGCTAGACGCTTTCCAAGGCGCGCTTGGTGGCGTTGCAGATGCGATTGACGCAGTCTTCAACCCGACCACAACGACCAAACGAGCATTTGTTGCAGTGCGTCCTCCGGGCACCACTGCTCAGCGGACCACCCTAGCGGATTCTGCTGGTTGAACAATGTGCATGTGGGTATCGAGTACGCTGCGCAAACCTACGGCCTGACTCACGCTGCCATTCTGGACTTCGACCTTCACCACGGCGATGGTAGCCAGGCTATTACATGGCAGCGCAATGGCAGGAACTATGAGAAGCGACTTGCAGCCAAACCAAACAGCAAGCTGAAGCTCAATCCGGATATTGGTTATTACAGTCTTCATGACATCAACAGCTATCCATGCGAGATGGGTGACGACGGAAAAGTGCAAGCAGCCAGCCTCTGTATAGAAAATGCACACAACCAGTCCGTCTGGAATGTGCATCTTCAGCCATGGGCTACACAAGCCGAGTTTTGGAGACTGTACGAGGATCGCTATCGTATACTGCTCGACAAGGCCAAGATATTCTTGCAATATCATGCTACAAGAATAAGGCAGGAAGGCAAAATACAGCCGAGGACTGCGATCTTCATCTCTGCCGGATTCGATGCTAGCGAGCATGAAGGCGCAGGCATGCAACGACACAAAGTTAGTGTTCCGACTGACTTCTATGCTCGTTTCACCGAGGATGTCGTGAATCTCGCAAAGGAGATCGACGGGTGTGACGGCCGAGTCATCAGTGTACTGGAAGGTGGCTACAGTGATCGTGCATTGTGCAGCGGTGTTCTGAGCCATCTCTCGGGCCTATGCGCTTCACCAGTGACCACGCAGACGAACGGTATTGAGACGTTGATGGATCTCAGCGAGCGTATGAATGGGCTTGGCATCAACGGCTCCGCAAATGAGGCTTCTCTTCGCTACGACAGTGACTGGTGGTCCGTGGCAAATCTAACTGCACTTGAGCATAAGGTGAACCCGCCCCCTCCGCCGCAAGCCAAGAAAGTGCGCACTGGGCCTCAGCCAACGTATGCCACGCCGACCGAGTCCTTTGCCTACAAGGTGGTTGATGCGGACAAGTTTGCACGTTCGATATCTGGGACCATGAGAGAGACCGCTGTGCCCGCGCGCCCTTTGACGCCACCGCCTCCAGAAGTTAACTGGGTTGTGGCGACTCAAGAACTTTCAAACCTACTGATTCCCGCTGATCGACAGACAAAGAGCTGCACGGTCGAGGAACTTGCAGGACCCAGAAAGGAGAAGCAGCCGGCTGCGCCTCTCGAAAACTTGCCAAAGACGAGGCAGCTGCGAGATCGAAGAGCTAAGACTCCCGCATATGCTGAGAGCGCACATAGTGACGAGACTGCAAGCGCAAGATCTGCCAGCCGCACTGAGAGCAGAACTTCTCGCCGTGAGACCATTGCGACACTACCGTCGGAGAACGGCGCCAGACGCGCAAGCCGTCGTCTGAGCGCCGGAAGTGCTTTTGATGCCACAAGCAGCAGTGCCGTTGCTGAAGATGCGCCGCCGGTACCTGCTGTTCCCGCGAAGATTGCAATGAAACCGCCACCTGTCCCGGCCAGCTCGATTCCGAACAAGAAGATCAGAGCGGCTTCCGGCACGCGAGTACCAGCAAATGGTAGCACGAAGTCAGAGGTACCTGCAATGAAGCCTGTACGGCCGGCGACGAGCACAGTCAGCACGAGCGCAGCGAAGAGCAATGGAGATGTGGATAGCTTGACATCTGGCATGAAGAAAATAACGCTCAAAGTCAGCAGCACAAAAGAGGAGCACGATGCGAAGCAGAAGGCTCAACTGGACGCGAAACGTAGAGCGACAGCCTTGAAGGGTGCTGAGACGCGCAGAGTCAACGCTGCAGCCAAAAAGGCAGCCCAGGCCACTGCGACAGCTCAAGCAGCACCGGCGAAGGCCACGCATCCAGCATCTAAAGCAACTCCTGCGGCACCGATAGTGCAGCCAACTCAGCCTGTTCCCGTCAGGCTGCCTCAAGATGTGAAACCACAGCCCTCAGAAGCTGACTCTCGGATGACCGGGATTGAGGAGTCTTCGAAAGAAAATATGGTACCGAACTCTACGTCCAATGCAGAGTGGGGCATTTCAAGAGTGCCATCGATCCAAATGGATAGTTCTAGTGCGGCAGGACCTGTCACACTTGAGACGTCTTCACAGCATGCGGCCATTTCCTGCAGCGCTACTCCAATTGAGGTCCCCGCAGCCTTCAATGTGCCCGCCGAGAATCTAGACTTTCCAGAGTACGCTAATAGCGATGGCGGTTTGACTCCACCCGCCACGACACCGATCATTGCGCCGGCTGAAGAACCTATTGTAGTACCAGTGTCTGGCGATACTGAAGACCCAACACTATGGAATAGCCAGCCTTCGCAGAATACTTCCGAACCACCACAGTCCGAGCTTTGGACGAAGCCAGAAGCAAATGGCGTTCGCGAACAGTCGCTCCAAGACAGCAAGAATGTCCATCCACCCTGGACGCCGCGACCTGCAAAGCCTGGCGATCTACCTGTCTTCACGAGCACTGGAGCAATTCCCTTCGGCACGGTCCCGGAGAGTCCACAGAGACTATGGAAGGCCCAGGCTGGTCAGGCGAAAGCGTCTGATTCCAAATTACACGACCTGTATGAGCAGGAACAGAAGTCTACCAACGAGCAGAGCGTGTGGGAAGTACCAGATACGCCGGCAAAATAGTCGACGGCCGACTAAAAGCGATCACTGCTGCGCATCGTTTCCCTTGATGGACTGTTCAAGTTTTCAATATGAGCGACGCTTTTCATTTTTGGTTGTTCGATTAGATACCCATCAGTCTTTTGTTTGTAGAGAGAGAGATACCCGAATTACAATACTTGTCAGCACGACGGTGCCGTCGACCACACTTCCCTTGCCCTCTGCCCACGTTGGTTGTTTGCTGCCGGCAGATGCTCTGTGTACCGGGACATGGCTCATGCACCTTAGCGAAGCGCTTCCATTAGCTTGATGTGAATAGCAGCCAATTGATGAAGGTCAACTTCCACGACGAAATGATTGGTTGTGCTCCTGGCGGCGCTAGGGAATGTTCGTCGGAGCACCGCCAGAGTGCTAGAAATATACTTTGGCGCCACGAGCGTGTGAAGTGATGTAAGCATGCTTTGCTGGTGCTCGGTGGGATTTTCGTCTGCAGTTTGCTGCGGTGAAGGAGATTTCACGATTTGCCTAATGTTTTGTATTGTACTGTGACAATGTGGCTCACGGGTCTGGTCTGATGGCAAGGAAGGGCGATGCTTTCAGAATCTGTCGTCTGCAGATCACCGCGGGGGCTTGAGTGCAGTGCTCTGTGAACGAGTGAAGCATCAAACTTGGATACTAGACACCTTTTGCCGGCGGAAGGGGTATTGTAGACTGCTTACTACTACCCTGCTTACTACTCTTAATATAGTATAGCGCTCTTGCCTTAGGCTCTTGCTAAGTTATTAAATCTTCTAAATTGCCCGTACGCGGCGCGTAGACGTATTCTTATCTCTTTCTCGTATTATTATCGCGATATATAGTCGTCGGTATAGCGGGTAACCTATTAGATAATACAACGTTAGTTGCTAGACTCGTACTCGCTATTTGCGAGGAAATAGGGCTTCTCGAGCGTATTAGGTTAAAGCCGCTGCCTATTCTATTTAGGCCGTTCGTATAGACGCTTAATATATAGCTAGACGAGTAGGTAGAGCGATATATAAGGTAAGTCGTATAGGAAGTAGATGTTAGTATAAGAAGTTAAGTTATTAAAGCGAGGTTGCCGCCTTAATACTACTACTACCGGGTATACCCGTATATTAGCTTCTAGTATAGTACTAACTATTTCCTAGGTTTACGAAGGTAGAAATACGCTAACTAGTAGTCGCTTTAGATATTAAGGGTTGTAAATAGCGGAATAGCAATAAACCTAACCCGGAGCTAGTATTAGGACTCGTTCTATAGCGGATATCGTTTCTAAGTCGCTAGTTTAATGCTTCTATTAAATTCGGCAAATGCGAGAGCTACTATAGCCTCGTATTTAACGATCTTGTTCTATAGATTTATAAGCAGTTTGCTAGCCTTATTGCCTAGCATCTACGACTTAATAGCTACCGGCGGTTAAAGATGTTCGCACTAGCTACTCGGAAGCGTAGAACCTATAGTTTTATATAGGGATTTATCGATAGACACTTCTTAGGCTTTTATCGACCGTAGAAGAACTAACAGAGGTTATATAGTAGTTACTATAGTAAACACGGGTATAAATTCTAGGCTATTGTTATACCGGATAGCCTAATATCTTTACTTATTAGACTATTTAATAGACGAGATAACGACTAGCGAATATAGCAATTGTCGGGTATTAAACGTCGCCTATAAAGGATTATAAGAAATAGGCGTATTCTATATCTCTATAGTAACCTAGTATACTATAGCAACTTCGGTATTATAGCTCCTTATAAGCACTACCTTAGACGGTCTTATTTAACGCCTTAGCAATAGGCGTTTAATAAGAAGCTATCTAGTATCCGGATCGAGGTTAAGTACTTATTTAGCTATATAATAAAGCTATAGTCCTATAACGTATTCTTAAAGCAATTAAGGTTAAGATAATAGCCTATTAGAGCCTACTTTATAGTAGTAGCACTGCTAACTAACTGTTATATCTGTCTTCGTAGATATAACTAGACAAGTAAGCGATTTAGCTTTAATCCTCTAAATTTATAGGAGTACCTCTAGCGGCCGGAACTAGACTACTCGGACGATAATAGCGAGAGCTCGGAGGGCTTAAATTATTATAGTATAGGCGGCTTCTAAGCTTAATCGACTATTTCTAAAGTAGTCCGAGTACTACTAATAGAGGGGGTAGCCGATAGAGAGAGAACGGCTATATCTCGGAGGTTCGGCGTTCTCCGCTAAGCCTCCGTATATACTTCGAGCTAGATTTACCTACGCCCCTACCCCCCCTAAATAGTACTACTATATACTTGCTATATATAAACGCATTATATAAGGTTGTTTACCTAGTTAGTAGCTATAATAGTATATAGAAAGTTTATAATTTAGATAAGAATTAGTATTGTAATAGGCGCCGACGCTATAACCTAAATCTTACTCGAAGCTACTAATTAGGCTAATCGAAGAACGCTATTTCTAGGTCCGGAAACTCTAGGTCTACTACCGTATTATTAGTACCTCTACCCGTAAGAATACCCGGTATCGCTAGAGCTACGGAAGGATTGAATTATATACCCTATACTAATAAAAGCGTCTTTAGTATACTATTAGTATTATCGCTAGTACTCCGGACCGAAGATACGGTTATAGATAATAAAGAGACCTCGTTCTTAACTATACTTAGCTCTACCTATACCTCCTTCTTAAAGGCCTCGAAGTCCTCTTATATCCTATTAATATCTTCTTCTATTACGAGCCTTCGTCGCTTTACTACCCTATTTTCTACGTCTACTTCTAGTTTATTAGAAGCGGCGTCTTCTCGTACTATATCTCGCTCTAACTTCTATACTATTATAGTAAACAACTCGCTAGCTTATAAGCGTATATTATAGTCTTATTATCTTAAGGTATCGTTAGAAGCTCTACCGCGAGACTTACCTTAAGTACGTCTACTTTATATAGCCGAGTCTCGTTGTTTACGGCCGCCGGATAGAGTTATAGAGCTACGAGAACTTAGTATTACTAGAGTTAATAACCGCTGAAAGGCTATACGTAATACTAGTATAGCACTTCGACTAGTACTATTAGTACTATAGTTTAAATTTAGACCTTTAGTCGACGGTCTTCTACTTCTATTACGCGGCGGCGGTATAGCTATAAGGTCTCGTATACGTTAGCGCTCTCGTTCTATCTCTTTATTAATCTCTAGCTCTTCTTCCTCGTAACTAGGCGTATCTTTATTATTATTTCTACCCTTACTAGTTATACTATTACTAGTATTAACCTCGTTATTACTATTATCCTACTCCGGGCCCTTATCTTTACTAATTACTAGACTATTAGGTATCTCCTACTACTTAATAAAGTGCTAGTTAGCGTCCGGTATATACTACTTCTTCGACTATAAACTTAGTATATTATACTTATTACGATAGCTCGTAGCGGCGTCTATTTCTACTTAGCGCGCGATACCTATTACCTCTACCTTTACGGCCTCTTAAGCAACTCGTATCTCGTACTAGGTATATATCTCCGCCTATATAGAACTAGGCTCGTTTTCTTCCTTACTAGTACCGTTACCGCTCTCTTTAACGTTAAATATAGGCTACTACTTATCTTCTAGCTTCTTTATTATACGGTCGAGCGATATATACTATATTTTAACGTTTAAATAGTATTTAGCCGTTATTAAGTCCTATTAGCTAGTAGTATTATATAAGGCCTCGAAGTTAGCCGCTATTCTTACTAAGGCGATCTTATTCTTCTTACTTTAACTACGCTTCTATCGCTTCGTCGCCGCTTCGATTATTACTTCCGATATATCGACCGCTCTACCTATATCGGTTATATAAATACGAAGAATCGCCCTTACCGCCGCCGTACGCTGCTCCGAGTTATTAGTCCGCCTAGTTCTACTTTTATCTTCTACCGAAGGCCTCGGTACCTCTAAAGGCGCTATAGAAGCTCGGAAACTTGGTATTTACTACGAGAAGTTAGGTATAGTTAATAGCGCTTAAGAGGCCTATTTTAGCGGCATTATCTACTATAAAAAAAGGCTATAAGAAGGCTATAAAGAAGCGATAGAATAGCCTAATTCTACGCGCTATAGAAGACGCGATTTAGCCTTAAACGAGGTCTTAACAACCTTCTTATTTAGTAATAGACGGAAACCAATACTACTACTACTACTTATAGCAATAGTATAGGTTACCGAGGGTAACATAACCTACAGCAATATAGGCAGCTATGTTCAGCAAGATAGGATAACGAGACTGTCGCTTAGGCTAATAACTAGAGCCCTGCAATATAGGTATTACAGAAGTGTAATATAAACAATGTGCTATACGAGGTTAATAATCTGTCTACTCTACAGAAGGAGGCCTCTTATATAGGCTCAAAACTAGCCTATAGGTATAGGGCCGGTTACTAGCTAATATCCCTCCCTTTCTTCGTATCTAACTAGACACGCTTTACATTGCGCGCTTAAAACAAACATATATACATCCTTAGCGGTCTTAGCTAAGGCTATTTTCACAACTCCGCAATAATACCCCCGGGATAGTATTAATCCTAGATACTATAATTATATAAAAACGACTTCCTAAGCAACACTATATAGACCTACTGTTGCTTTAACGCGCCGTAATCCTTACTAGCAATAACCTTATCTGCTAGTCGGCTCTCGAAATCTCCTCCGTATACGTTAAAGCTATTAGCACCGAAGTACTGTCCCTCGTAGAAAGCTTAATTAACGAGGAGGTTAGTAGCCTTTTCCGTCGCAGCTTTCTCCTAATTGTGCAGATACTTCTTGAGTCCTTTGTTAAATAATAGACGGAAACTAACACTACTACTACTACTTATAGCAATAGTACAGGCTACTAAGGGTAATATAACCTATAGCAATATAGGCAGCTATATTTAGTAAGATAGGATAACGAGACTGTCGCTTAGGCTAATAACTAGAGCCCTATAATATAGGTATTGTAGAAGTGTGACATAAACAATATACTGTACGAGGTTAATAATCTGTCTACTCTGTAGAAGGAGGCCTCTTATATAGGCTTAAAACTAGCCTATAGGTATAGGGCCGGTTACTAGCTAATATCCCTCCCTTTCTTCGTATCTAACTAGATACGCTTTATATTGCGCGCTTAAAACAAACATGTATGCATCCTTAGCGGTCTTAGCTAAGGCTATTTTTACAACTCTGTAATAACACCCCTAGAGTAGCATTAATCCTAGATACTATAATTATATAAAAACGACTTCCTAAGCAACACTATATAGACCTACTGTTGCTTTAACGCGCCGTAATCCTTACTAGCAATAATCTCATCTACTAGTCGGCTCTCGAAATCTCCTCCGTATACGTTAAAGCTATTAGTACCGAAGTACTATCCCTCGTAGAAAGCTTAATTAACGAGGAGGTTAGTAGCCTTTTCTATCGTAGCTTTCTCCTAATCGTATAGATACTCCTTAAGTCCTTCGTTATTAAGCTAGAGGATCTATTTAACTTCGTTCTAAACAACGTAACTTAACTAAGGAATCCTACTAACTAGGGCGTCGGAGATATAGCCGAGGCCTTCGACTAAGATAGCTATAGGGAAAGCGAATAGCACGAAGGAGTTAGAGGCTAGGAGGGCGGTTAGATTGCGGTGCGCTTTAGC